TTGGGAAGTCACAGGGGGCAGAAAGAGTACGAAACAGGTTAAAAATCAAATCCCTGAGTCATTCAAATACAAACAGCACCTGGGCAGCCGTGGCACGCTGGATGCAGGAGCGCGCAGCTCGGCTCTTTCAGTCGGGCTGCACAGCAGGCAGCAGGAAAGTGTCTTTCAATAACAAGTCTTTGCAATAAAGCGTCTTTGCAAAGCCACCCCTGAAAATTCACTTTTACAAGGAAGCTGAACCAGATGCATTCCAGGCACTGGGTCCTCTCGCAAAGGGCACAGTCCTGACGATGGCTGGCTCTTCTGTTTCATCCTTTCCCTGCTTTCCCATGGGCTTTTTGCTCTGCTTCCTTATTTTCACTGGGAGCAATGAGGCGACCCTGTATTAGCAGGGAATCAGCCCAGCAGCTGAGACTGAGCAGAGCTGAGACACTCCTCGGCGCGTTCCTTGCAAGCACTGCCTGATCGTGTGTGCATTGACCATGGACAAGTCCCAGCCCAGATGTCTCCAGCCAGCCAGGAGATACTGACTGTCCCAGAGGCAAAGACTGTAATGAAATTTCCAGGATTCTCCCCCAAAAGTGGGAAGATTATACTGTTCATGGATAGATCACAAAAGAAAGAAAACCCAAGCAAGTTAAAGCAAAATTTTAGTTCCAAAAGGCAGCAGTACAAACTGCCCTTAGCAACAAATCAGCCTGGAAATTAAAACAAAATCCCTACCAGCAGAGAAAGCATGTTCCTAATTTTGTTCGCTCCAATCCTGATCAGAAGAACGTTTCTGCTTGTGCCTTTTGTAAACGTGAAACATCACTAAGAAGGTTGTCCAAGCTCAAATAACCAGCTCATGCTCTGAGCTGGGGCAGCTTGGACGAAGACCAAAGCCCTTCCTTAACCATTCCCAAAGCAAAGCTGCCATTTAACCATCAGCATGATACTGCACCTGGAGCAGAGCCCTTCCCCATCCCTGCACCAACGTCTGAGAGCAAACCATGGCTGTGGGTGAGGGACCTGTAAGGTCTTCAGCTTCCTTACAGCTCTGCCTGAGCACAAGGGTCACGTCTCTTGCCAGCATCTTGCCTGTCTGCCCCATTAGCCCCACAAATATGGGTTCCTTGTGCTGCACAGCCATGAGCCACCCAGCCTTGTCCTGGCAATGTGGGTCCCTACCTGCTCACCTCTCTGTCGTGTGGAGACCTTCTCCTCTAAAGGCAGAGTGCTGTTGGGTTTGACCAAGCCCCCTCCATGCTGCAATGCCATGACTTTGCCATGCACGGTCTGGGATAAGCCAAGATTAAAGCAGGGGAGGAAGCTGTGACCAGCTGTGAGACAACTTCAGCACCAGACAAGCTTCCCTCCGCTCTCCTAACGCTCTCAAGCCTTTAATTATAGGGCACAAGCCTTTGATTATGGTATAAAACCATCTGTGCAGAAGTAGACCTGCTGTGCGTGGCTCTTGGAGTGCAGGGGAGATAGACGAGCTCCTGACAGCATAAAAAAACTTTTCACCCACCTCCAAAGCCATCATAAGCCACTGCCCATTGCCCAAGACCCCGGAGCGATCCCCAGGACCCCAAACCAGCCTCTGCTGTTCCCCACAAAGTGTTGGCTGAACCGGCTGAAGGAGCCGGTGTGGCAGATGGGCTCCCTGCAGTCAGCAGTGAAGGCAAACGCCACTCACCCCAAAGGCACGCCGTCAGGAGAAGGATCCCTGCACTCTTGGCCCCTCCACAGGTGGGTTTTCTGCCCCCAGGGTGGCTGGATGAGGGATGGGGACCGCTCGGTGTCCCCATGTTCACAGCCTGGCCACAGGCTGGAGGCTGGAGTGGATTGTCCTTGTGAGAGAGGCCAGCTGAGCCCAGTGTCCCGCTGGCAAACTGGGAGGGAAAAATGGGATTTCTGCAGAGCGCTCTCCTCCTCTGCCCTGCTCTCCCCTGGGAGCTTCACCTCCTGTGAAGCTCTGCCAGGAGGTGACCCACTGCCCCATGCAGCAGCCAGTCTTGTCATCAGCTTGCGAAACAGCGAGCTGTTCCAGGAAAACATGGAGCAAACAAAACCTGCTCGACACTCAGGTCCTGTCTCGTACGTGCCAATCCCTGTGGCCATCTTGGCTGCCCTGGTACAAGATATCTACTTTCCAAAAGTTGAATCAAGCCTCTATGCACAGACCTGGGGAAATACAGCTACGTTAGCTTCGTTGGAAAGTGGCTGGTTGGGTTTTGAGGTGAGGGAACATCCACTGCAAGAAACTAGGTTACTACAAGCTGAAAATGGCTTTATTTTAGGAGGCTGGAGCCAGCACCTGCACTGTAGCTGTTTGCCATCAGGAGAGCCTGAAAACCATCTGTGATGAGAAAGGGGCTCACGCTCACCTTGCCATGCTTTGGACGGCTCAGTCAGGTTTGGAAAACAAGGGGAATTGCCATTCTCATATCCTACTGTGTCTGCACCTGCAAGACCCCCAGGGTCCCTTTTGGATTAGCAGTTTGCTTCCCAGTTGCTGTCATGCTGATGATGCTCCTGGCACGTCCCTTACACATCGCTGCCCCAAGCATATGCTGAGAGGATGGAAGAGTTTGCTGTCCTCCCATCCCTTCAGTGTGTGGTGGCTGATGTTGTGCAAGGAAGGGGCCCAAAGGCAGAGCATTGTGCTGCTGGAAAGAAAGTGTTTTGCAAAAGGGTCATCAAATGAACATCACCCGTTGCTGCGAATGGGAGGGTTCAGATGGAGGTGGGTCTTGTGCTAGTGGTGCCTTGAAGATGGGGCTTGCATTGGGCAAGGACGTGGCCCCTGCCAGAAACAGGGTGGATGGTTTTGCCCATGTCTGTGTAAAAATAAGAAGCAAAACTGGAGCACGTACTGGGAAGAGGGCAGCATGGCCAGGGAGGTCCAGGCTGAGTTTAACCTCTTCAGCCTGGCAAAACCTGAGAGGGGCAGTGGAGTGGGGAGTAGATTGCTGCCTGCAGGAAGATCAAATAGGAAAAAACCAAACCCCAGAGGCATGCAGAGCTAGGGCTGGAGACCAAATAGGAAAAAAAGAGGTGTGCTACACAAAGGCACAAGAATGAGTGGGGGAAAGTTGGGCTGGAAATGAGTCAAAACTAATCTCATCAAAAGCAGAGCAGTCGGGAAAGGTGGCTGTATTCATTTGTACTGGGGCTCAGTGAGCCCAAGGACTTTGTTCCCCTCCTTTGCAAACAAACAAACCAGCAGCAAAGAGATTCCCGACACAGAAATGCCGTGAACTGTCACAGCCTGACGTGGCTGATGCAGCTCTGGGCCAGGGAGCTTCTGCTGGGGCTGTCTTCAGTTTGGACAAACAGCCGCTCTGGAAACGAGTTGTGTCCTCTGTCCCTTCTGAACTCGAGTGTTGTGTCCCCCTGGGAAGTCTGAAATCCCTCCTTTGAGACACTGCAGTCTCTGCAGAACAACCCATGGCCCAAGCTGGGCTCTAGCAGGTGCTGATCCTTCATATTGGATCCCTGAAGAGCATGAACTCATCCCAGCTTTATTGCAAAAACCTTCTCCAAACGGTGCACATATTTTATTCCAAAAAAAACTGGGCCAAAGTCCTGTTTTCTCCTATTCTGAGCACACTTTATGCGGAGCCAGGAGAAGCCCTGGGCCTTTGATGTAAGCTTTGGGACAGGCAAGGCGGGATGACCAGGTCTGCTGGGGCAGCCAGCAGGAAGATGAGAAGGCTCAAGTGCCAGCAGGAGGATGAGAAACCTTGAAGTCTCAGGTGTGGTGGATGTCCGTGGAGCAACAGAAGCTGACCTTGTGGCCACATGTTGACAGGAGATCCCCAGCCAGGGGAGGTCTATGGCTGGGGCTTAGGACGAGTAGCAAGACGCGAATGGGTCACAGCTGCAAACCGCTGGCTGGGAGGGAAGGAGATGTGGGAGGTAGATCTGAAGGGCACTGAAATACATAGAATCATTGAATGGTTTAGGTTGGAAGGGACCGCCTCCCACTAGACCAGGTTGCTCAAAGTCCCATCCAACCTGGCCTTGAACCCCTCCAGGGATGGGGCAGCCACAGCTTCTCTGGGCAACACGTTCCAGTGTCCCACCACCCTCACAGCAAAGAATTTCTTCCTGAGATCCCATCTAAATCTCTTCCAGTTTAAAATCATTATCCCTCATCCTATCACTAAATGGCCTTGTTTAAAGTCCCTCTCCAGCTTTCTTGTAGGCTCTCTTTAAGTACTGGAAGGAGCTATAAGCTATCCCTGGAGATTCTTCTCCAGGCTGAACAACCCCAACTCTCTCAGCCCGTTCTCACAGCAGAGGTGCTCCAGCCCTCTGATCATCTTTGTGGCTCTCCTCTGGACTTGCTCTAACAGGTCCATGTCCTTCTTGTGCTGAGGACTCCAGAGCTGGATGCTGGTAGACTCCAGGTAGGGTCTCACCAGAGCAGGGAAGAAGAGCAGAATCACCTCCCTCGCCCTGCTGGCCATGCTTCTTTTGATACAGCCCAGGATACAGTTGGCCTTCTGGGCTGTCAACACATATTGCCAGCTCATGTTGAGCTTCTTATCCACCAACACCCCCAAGTCCTTCTTCTCAGTGCTGTTCTCAGCCCTCAGGGCTGTCACATGCTGTGACTCTTTCATTACATGCATCTTTTCCTTTCCATGTCCTTGAGTGGACATCAGCTTGGCTTGCAAGGCACACCTTCACTACAACCTGCTCAAGCTTGTGGTTCTTTCATTCCCTCCCATGGCACTGGGACGTTCCTCAGACATGGACCCTTCTGGCTTCACCAAAGTGGTGGATGTTTTGGGGCTCAGAACTGGGTTGCTCCATTAGGAACCTTAGTGACCCTTCCTTGTTGGTGGCCAGGATAATATCTCACCCAACATTAGTAATCTTGAGTCTCCTGTATCTGACCTGGTCATCTGCAATCCCTCTATAACCAAGGGGCCTTTTCTTCCACCACTTCCACCTCACCAAGTCACTCCATATCCCTGAGTCTCTATAATGCTGCACTCTCAATCTTTCAGGTTTAAGGGTTTTACTGGTATTTGAAAGTGGATTGAATAAATACAGTGGGTGAGGGACTTTTCACCCCGTTCTGGATGGGTGTTTAAGCACAGTCCTCGTTTTACAAAGGTGGTTTTTTTGCACAGTGCAGGAGAGCACCCTGCTCCCTTGCTCCTGGATCAGGCAGCAATCCTCACTTCCATGGGGACCAGAAGCGGTCATGGGAGATTAGGGGAAAAGGTGGGAATGTGGTGAGGGTGATGGCACTCGATGCCACTGCAGGGGGCTACAGGAATCACAGGGGGCTATGGGGCTGGGAACAAGAGGAGTCTGGAGTTAGGATTCTGGAGCCTACCCAGAGGACCAGATATGGGTTATTCTGAGAAGGCCTTGCTTGGAGACTGAGGGACTTCAGCTCTGCTTGGAGGAACTGGGACCCGCAGAGGCTCAGCGCGGTGAGCTGGGGGCTATGGGGCACAGAGACCAGAGGGGATTCTCTCTGCTGACCATTGCAGCCACGGCTCTGCTCTTCTGGCTCCAATGAAGTCTTCTGGGGTCCTGAGGGAGCCTTGCCTTGGACACCAGGAACATGACCGCTTAAGCCTCGGATGACATCCCGCTGTCCTCTGTCTTCACTCTAAGGGGTTTGTCTGCAAAATGAAGGAGCAGGGTGACACTTTGGAGAGTGCGATCCCCACACCCAGGCTGGTGTGCCTCCATGCCAGCCGGACGTGTGGCCACAAGGAAGCCAGGTGCACCACGTGCTGTGGTCCTGCTTTTACCTGGGGAGCGTCGAGCCGGTCTTCCACACCTCGTCCACAGGTACAGGACCAACAGGGTCCCACAGAGCATTGCCCCCACGCCGAGCAGGCCTGCCAGCACCGAGCAGGCCTCTATGAGTTCTGCAGGAAGAGTGAAGCTCAGAGGGAGTTGTTTGGATGGCGGGACTCGTTCTGCCCCTCTCACCCTTCCCTTCTGCTGCCTGTTTTTGGGGATTTGCAAGATCCTCCCTCACTGCCCCTCCTGGGTGCTGGGCTGATCGTCAGCAGCAGGACTCACAGCTCACCCTCTGCTTTGGGAGGGTGGGTGCATGGACAACCCCCCTCTCTGGGCTAACGCAAACAGAGCACGTCCGCTAAGGATGCTTGGATCTCCACGTCCACCGAGATGCCCTCACCCAGTTGGTCCCACTCCGCTGCCTTAGAGCTGTTGCCTTCGGGTGCCTCTCCCCTGTCCACCCAATGTCTCCCAGCAAAAAGGCTTATGGCAACACTTCTGTTGGTGTTGGTCAACTGTCGGCTGAACATGAGCCAGCAGTGTGCCCAGGTGGCCAAGAAGGCCAACAGCATCCTGGCCTGTATCAAGAACAGCGTGGCAAGTAGAGCCCGAGAGGTGATCGTCCCCCTGTACTGGGCACTGGTGAGACCCCACCTCGAGTACTGTGTCCAGTTTTGGGCCCCGCACCACAAGAGGGACATTGAGGTGCTGGAGCGGGTCCAGAGAAGGGCAACGAAGCTGGTGAGGGGTCTGGAGCACAAGTCTTACGAGGAGAGGCTGAGGGAGCTGGGGGTGTTCAGTCTGGGGAAGAGGAGACTGAGGGGAGACCTTACTGCTCTGTACAAGTACCTGAAAGGAGGGTGTAGAGAGACGGGGGTCGGTCTCTTCTCCCAAGTTACAGATGTCAGGACAAGGGGTAATGGCTTCAAGTTGCGCCAGGGGAAGTTCAGGTTGGATATTAGGAAACATTTCTTTACTGAAAGGGTTATCCAGCATTGGAATGGGCTGCCCAGGGAGGTGGTGGAGTCACCATCCCTGGAGGGTGTTCTGAGCGAGGAAAGCATCTCTGGTGCTCCCGAGGGTGTCAGAAAATGAGGTGTGTCCCCCAGAAAAGGCCCTCAAGAACTGGCTGGGATGAACACGTGCCATTTTTCCCACTTTCTTCTCGCCTTGGGACTGCCTCCCTGCTCTGGTGTGGACCCCATGGAGGATCGTGGCTCTCACCCTTTGGCTTCGTGCACACCACGCCGGCCGCCGAGCCCTGCTGGCAGGACCCCAGCCCGGACCCCTTCTGCTGGCACTCCAGGAGCAGGGACTCGCTCCCCCGGCAGCTCAGCCCCTCCAGCAAGGCACGGCCGGTCTCCTGCCTGAACTGGGCTCCCAGGGGCGCCGACTGGGCTGGCCCACAGCCCAGCTGCCTGCAGACCACCTCGGCTTCCAGCAAGCTCCAGCCGTTGCTGCAGACCCCGTGCCAGGTAGCGTTGTAGAGCACCTCCACCCGCCCCGCGCAGGGACCGGGGCCGTCCTGCAGCCGCACCTGCAAGGGGTTTGTGCCTGCAAGAGGGAGCAAAAAGGGGGTGAGGTGGTGCCTCTGACCCCATAGGGTGATGAGAGCTTCTGACTTGCTCCGGAGCATCTTTTTTTCTGGTGCTCTGCTGAAGGAAAGCCACCAGCACCTGCGACTTACTCCACCTCCGGGTATGAGATGCCTTAATAAGCAACGTCACTGCGGGGCTGGTGTCCTTGAGATGGGGCTCATGGGAGACCCACATCCACCTCCCTGCTGGCACTGGACTCCTGTGTCTACGAATGGTGTGCCTTGATTATTTTTTTAAGCAAGGTTTGGCCCATCCCAGGATGCTGTCACTGATGAGCCTGAGACATAGTCCAGATTAAATCAATTTTAGGAGTTAAGCGCATAACTCCTTTCTAAGGCAGGGTGGCATTTTTTCTCAACTCCAAGCCAAGTGGCTGAGTGAAAGATGACTTCTGCTCTGGAGCTGGGGATGGGGAAGAGTGAGGAGAGAGCCTGGCACAGCCCTGGGGTAGAAGAGTAGCTCCAGCACCCATCAAGCCCTCCCTTGGATGGACACCAACCACCCTGGTCCCTGAAGCCTGGTCTTACCCGAGCACACCACGCCAGCATCCTCGCTGTGGCCGCAGTTGTGCTCTCCCCAGGTGCTCAGCTCACAGTCGGTGAGCGCGGACTCGGTCCCCCTGCACTGAACGTCATCCAGCCAGATGGGATCCGAGCCTTGTCCGAAATGAGCCGAGCCCGGTGCTGACAGTGCCACCCCGCAGTCCAGCTGCCTGCACACAACAGCAGCGTCCTGGAGGTCCCAGGAGTCGTCACACACGGTCCCCCACTTCTGGTCATGAAAGACCTCGACTCTCCCCAGGCAGCTGTTGGAGCCGTTCACCAGCCGCAGCAGGCGCTGCTCCGAAGGGTCCGCATCTGTGAAGGGAGAAAGGGTCACGTTAATTAATGCCTCACCATCAGCCACTGCTCCAGTCGGGCTTTGCAATGTGCTAAAGCCACAGGAAAATCAGAGCATCCTTCTGCGCGTTAAGCCTCTGGCTGCCTGGGGAAGGTGCTGCACTGACAGGGCTGCCTTGGGATTTGCTTCTCATTGGTGTGGATAAAGAGGGGTTGCAGTTCCAGAGCTTGGGGCTTGGAGCCTCAGAAAGGGTCCTAGGGTCAACAGGGACTATGGGGGCATCTTGAGGTCAACGGCAACTATGGGAGGGTCCTAGGGACAGTAGTGACTATGGGAGGGTCTGGTGTCAACAGTGACTGTGGGAGGATCTTGAGGTCAACAGTGACTATGGGAGGGTCCTGGAGTCAACAGTGACTGTGGGAGGATCTTGAGGTCAACAGTGACTATGGGAGGGTCCTGGGGTCAACAACGACTGTGGAAGGGTCCTGGGGTCAACAAAGACTATGGGAAGGTCCCGGGGTCAACAGCAACTATGAGAGGGTCCTGGGGACAGTAGTGACTATGGGAGGGTCTGGTGTCAACAGTGACTGTGGGAGGATCTTGAGGTCAACAGTGACTATGGGAAGGGCCTGGAGTCAACAGTGACTGTGGGAGGATCTTGAGGTCAACAGTGACTATGGGAGGGTCCTGGGGTCAACAACGACTGTGGAAGGGTCCTGGGGTCTACAAAGACTATGGGAAGGTCCCGGGGTCAACAGCAACTATGAGAGGGTCCTGGGATCAGTAGTGACCATAGAGTCCCTGGCTGCCTGAGACATGATTGAGCTGATCCTGCACCCCAGCCCGCACAGTATTTATCCCAACTGACGTGAATCTCCAGAGCACATCACGCCAGCTTCTTCTCGGTGGTCGCAGCTGTTGGATCCCCACGGCCTTGCTTGGCATTCGGAGAGGGCGGCTTCCGTCCCCGTGCAGTTGACGTGATCCAGCCAGATGCGGCCAGACGCTTCCCCGAAGTGAGCCGAGCCGGGGGCCGCCATGGCCGTCCCACAGCCCAGCTGCCGGCAGACCACCGCTGCCTCGGCCAGGCTCCAACCACTGTCACACACTGTCCCCCACTGATGGTTGTAGAACACCTCCACACGCCCTGCGCAGCGGCCATAGCCATTCTCCAGGCGCAGACGAGCCGGTGTGTTGGTGGTGGCCGTGCCTGTTCCTGACACAAGACACAAGGGGGGAACGTCAGACCAGGCCTCCCCCAGGTTGCCCCTTCTTGCCACCATGGTGAGACCTGTGCTGGAGGATGCTCCCCTGTGTTTTGCACAGGGAGGTTCCTGTGTCCACACAGAGCCCTTGAGAAACAGCTAACGTTTGGGGTAAACAGCTCAGGTATGGGCAAAACCAGCCGGGTAACCTCAGAGTCTGTGCATGTTCAACATTATCCCAAACAAACTGTAAATGGCTGCAACCCTTTTTTTCAGTCCTCCTGGGTGGCTGTCCACGAACCCTTCGCGTGTCCCCAGCAGCCCCCAAAGGCAGAGACTTTCTGCAGACCCCCATTGCTGGTGCTTCTTCTCCAAAAAGACTTCAGGTCCCCTGCACCCCATCTTTGCACAGCCTGTTGACTACTGGTCCCCATCGTGTGATGGGTTGGGACCTTGCCTGGAGCCTCTAGCACCCCGTCCAGTGCTTTCCCTCTCTCCTTGGTGCCCACGTGAGCACAATTTTTGGTGCTGCCCTTCCTACTATCCCTGCTGCTCCTCACTGTGTGCCAGCATGGCACGTAGGAGATGGGACAAGGGGGACAAGGTCATCCACCCAGGTGTCTGCTGCCCAGCCCTTAGCTGCAGTTGTGAAATCAGTACGAATCCCTGGAGCAGAGCATCCTCCGCTCTCCTTCCTCCAAGCATCCTCCGCTGAACTTCTCCTGGTCCAAAAGCATGATGTTACCTGTGCACACAGCGCTGGCATCTTCTCCATGGTCACAGTTGTTGACACCCCAAGGTCTGGCCTGGCATTCAGACAGGGTGGCTTCGGTACCAGAGCACTGAACGTTGTCCAGCCAAATGGGGCCCGATCCCCGGCCAAAGTGAGCTGAGCCGTAGGCCGAGATGGCTGCCCCACAGCCCAGCTGCCGGCACACCACACTGGCATCCGTGAAGCTCCAGTCGTCGTCGCACACGGTTCCCCACTGGTGGTCGTGCATCACCTCTACTCTTCCAGAGCAGTGGTTCGGGCCACCCACCAGGCGGAGTTCTGCAGGACCAGCTGGGGTGTCCATAGCAGGGCTGGATGAGTCTACAGAGGGAACAAGAGGTGGACCATGAAAACCTCCTTGCCCTTCATTTCTGCAGCACCATAGAATCATAGAATCATCGTCTAGGTTGGAAGAGACCCTTGGGATCATCGAGTCCAACCATCTACCCTACCATTCTGCACTCCACCATGATTGTTGGCTGCCCCCTGTCTCTACCAATGTGCAGCCACCTCAGGACTGGGATGATGTCATGTCCTAGCAACCCACAGTTTTTCAAGCTGTGGCTGAAGATCCTGAGGATGCTGAGACAGGAGGAGGAAAAATATTTTCTTGGTGTTCATGGGGCACTACCTCCTATTTGCAGGTGGAGGTGACAAGTGAGGGGGCTCAGCACACCTGGGTTCTGATGTCTGTTGGGACAATTCTAGCAGAGGTGGCTCAATTCTAGCAGAGGTGGCTCCAGCATCTACCAATTGCCATGAGAGCCTGCAGCTCAATCAGCCACCAAGGCTCAAAGCTTCTGGAGTCCCAGGTTTTGACCATAAAAAGCTGACTGAGGCTCGCCAGAGGCAATGGAAATCATTCTGTCTCTTGTGTTGGTGGTGAGAAGGAGGAATCTGGGTGTCTCCTCCTGGCCATCCTCTCCTCTGCCTACAACTGTGTCTCACAGCACGTGCCTGCAAAATACAACGAGGCTCTAGTCTTGCATGTGTCCCTAAAACACAGCCAAGGCAAGGCACACAGGGTCCCACTTGCCGTGAAGGCGTGTGATGCACAAGGGTCCCCTACGCATCCCCCAGAAGTGGTTGGGCATCTCTGGGAAGTTATCACAGATAAGGTTTTCAAGCCTGCTTCCCAAATTGCTCCCCAGCCTGCACTCACTTGTACAGGACAAACCAGAAAACCGTCCCTTCCTGGGGCCACAGGTGCTCCGTGCCTCAGGGAGCTTTTAGAAAAGTGGGGGGACAACACTCCTTGCGAAGGACTTGCTGTGCCAACTATGTGTCATCATCACCCCCCACCCTGTCATAGAATCACAGAATCACATGGGGTTGGAAGGGACCTCTGGACATCATCTAGTCCAACCCCCCTGTCAAAGTGGGTCCACCCAGAGCAGGTTGCTCAGGAACGTGTCCAGGTGGGTTTTGAATGTCTCCAGAGAAGGAGACGTCACCACCTCTCTGGGCAGCCTGTTCCAGTGCTCTACCACTCTCACAGAAGGAAGTTCCTCCTCACGTTTAGGTGGAACTTCTTACACTCAAGTTTGTGCCCATTTCCTCTTGTCCTGTCACTGGGCACCACTGAGAAAAGACCAGCCCTGGCCTCCTGACACCCTCCCTTTAAGTATTTGTATGCATTGATTAGATCCCCCCTCAGCCTTCTCTTCACAAGGCTAAAAAGACCCAAGTCCCTCTGCCTCTCCTCGTAAGAGAGATGCTCCAGGCCCTTCATCATCTCTGTAGCCTCTGCTGTCCCCTCTCCAGCAGTTCCCTGTCCTTCTGGAACCGGGGAGCCCAGAACTGGTCCCAGTGCTCCAGATGGGGCCTCCCCAGGGCAGAGCAGAGGGGGAGCATGACCACCCTCAACCTGCTGGCCACGCACTTCTTGATGCACGCCAGGATGCCACTGGCCTTCTTGGCTACAAGGGCACATTGCTGGGTCATGGGCATCCTGTTGTCCACCAGGACTCCCAGGTCTTTCTCCTCAGAGCTGCTCTCCAGCAGGTCAGCCCCCAACCTGTGCTGGTGCAGGGGGTCATTACTCCCCAGGTGCAGCACCCTGCACTTGCCCTTGTTGAATTCCATTAGGTTTCTCTTGGCCCAACTCTCCAGCCCGTAACTCCCCTTCTCTCTGCCCAACTGCCTCGTCTCCCCAGGGTGTTACCTGAGCACACCACGCCGGCATCTTCACCGTGGTGGCAGTTGTTGTTTCCCCAGCCCTTCGACCTGCAGTAGGACAGGGCGGCCTCCGTCCCCGTGCAGCTGACGTCGTCCAGCCAGATGGGACCCGACCCTGCCCTGAAATGCGCGGCCGCGGGGGCCGACAGCGCCGGGCCGCAGCCCAGCTGCCGGCACACCACGCCGGCGTTCTCCAGGTCCCAGTGGTCGTCGCACACCGTTCCCCACTGGTTCTCGTAGAAGACCTCAACCCTGCCGGCACAGCGGTGCGGGCCGTCTGACAGGCGGAGGGGAGCCCGCTGGGCAGCAACCGGGCCTGCAAGAGGGACACGGAGAGGGTCTGGTGTGGAAGAAGCAGCACTGGGACAGGCTGCACGAGCAGCACAAGCTTCACGGAGACACTGCCAACAGCGGTGGCTTGTGTACACTATGGATGTGCATACCCTTTGGCTCAAAGACAAACAAACCAAAAAAAATAATTAAAAAAACCCACAAAAACAAGGCAAGGAGAGAAAACGCTCTGCAAAACCCTCTTTTTGAAAGACAGTTATCCTTAGAGCGGCTCCAGGTATTTTTTTTGCTCAGTATTCCCAGTCAATGAAAAGGAAAACCCTGCTGCCCGGGTTGGGAACTGGGGGCAGCTCTAAGTAGGGATTAGGTGCCCAGGAGTCTGAGGGAAGGCAGGTACTGCCTGTCAGCAACCTCATGCTTTAATTAGTGATTTGCATGATGCGCCTGCTCAGCAAATTGCCCCACGGGCCTGGCCAGGTGAGGGTATGTCTTACAGGAGGGCATTCCACAGGCAAAAACTACAGCAAGACAGATAAATACGAGGTGTTTAATCACCGTGGAACCGCCTGGGTCAGGGTCTGGGTAGAGGCTGCAGCATCTCCTGGATGCAAAACGAGGCCGGCAGGGGCAGAAAAATAGACGAAAACCCCCTTGGCATCCCACTTGCAGCACAGCAGTCACCTCCTGGAAAGCCTTGATGTCTGCTATGCGCAGAGCAGACCAGATGTTCCCGTTAGCATTAGGGGGGAAGAGGACTTTGTGCCCTCTGTAAACGAACTGGCCGGCCCTGAAGAGGTGGCCAACACAAATAAGCAATTTCTGGTCTTGACTGTCACCGGCTGGGAAGGCTCCAAGTGTTTCCCAACTGTTCTGTGCAAGGGCAGCAGCGCCAGAGGCCAGGATAATTACCTGGCTAACGAGGTCTCCTTCCCAACCCACCGCTTTCTTTTCCTTTTGAAGGCTGGTGGGCCAAAGGCAGCTTTGCCCATCCATCTGCAAGCCCCATCCTCCCCATTCCTGCAGATTTCCAACCCTTGTCTTTCTCCTAGGGTGCTCCTTCCCCCCGTGCGAGAGCCACTCACCACAGAGGCATGCCAGGTAGATGAGGAGTCCTGCTCCAGCGAAGCCAGCCAGGCCGCTGTGGAGGGACAGGAGGCAACGTCCCGACAACCCCATGGCCATCACACGTGCCGTAGGAGAAGTGACCGTCCCAGGGCGAGCTGCGAGCCCAGCCGGGTGCTGTGGGTGGCGAGAACAGGTTTGTCCCCTCCTCTGCCCCGTGTTTGCCTGGCATTCATCCCTCCTCCTCCTCCTGCACTGACCCCTCCTCCCCGTTGTCACCGGGATCCTGCCCTCTGGTTTTAAGTGGTTTAGGTGGCCCCCTCACTGCCACAAACACGTCTGCTCGGAGGCTCCTCACCTTTCCCAGCTGCATCTGCCCCATTTCATCCCCACCTCCCCAGGCCCACAGGCTGCGGATCCGGCCACGGGAAGGTTTGTAACGCTCACTTCTGGAGGTTTGCAAAGCCAAGCCTCATCTTGTGCGTGTCATCTTGAACATGAGCCAGCAGTGTGCCCAGGTGGCCAAGAAGGCCAACAGCATCCTGGCCTGTATCAAGAACAGCGTGGCAAGTAGAGCCCGAGAGGTGATCGTCCCCCTGTACTCAGCACTGGTGAGACCCCACCTCGAGTGCTGTGTCCAGTTTTGGGCCCCCTACCACAAGAGGGACATTGAGGTGCTGGAGCGGGTCCAGAGAAGGGCAACGAAGCTGGTGAGGGGTCTGGAGCACAAGTCTTACGAGGAGAGGCTGAGGGAGCTGGGGTTGTTCAGTCTGGGGAAGAGGAGACTGAGGGGAGACCTTATCGCTCTGTACAAGTACCTGAAAGGAGGCTGTAGAGAGACGGGGGTCGGTCTCTTCTCCCAAGTTACAGATGTCAGGACAAGGGGTAATGGCTTCAAGTTGCGCCAGGGGAAGTTCAGGTTGGATATTAGGAAACATTTCTTTACTGAAAGGGTTATCCAGCATTGGAATGGGCTGCCCAGGGAGGTGGTGGAGTCACCATCCCTGGAGGTATTTAAGAAACGTGTAGACATGGTTCTTCAGGGCATGCTCTAGTGCCCAAGATTACTGGTTTGTGGTGGGGTGCTGTGTGGGTGGGTGTTTTTTTTGTTGTTGGTTGGACTCGATGATCTCTGAGGTCCCTTCCAACCACTACGATTCTGTGATCTGAAGGTGGACCCCCACCACCCAGAGATACCCCCAGGGTGCGTGTGGAGGGCAGGAAGCCTCCTTTCCCCTGCCAAAATAATGAGTTTTGAGGGCTTGTGTACATCCAATAGCACGGTCTGGCTGGAATCTGTCCTGAAGTCACGTCCCTGAAGCCATTGCCCGTATGAAACACACAGCCTGTACCCCGGGATGTCACACAACACCAATAATAAGTAGGGGGCTGGAGGGAGGGGGTGGGGGTTTGGCCCAGAAACTGTGCGGTAGCCACTGAGATTAAGCTGCAAAGACACTCAGGGAAGTCATCGTGCCTCTGTAGGGAAGTCATCATGCCTCTGTACTGGGCACTGGTGAGGCCTCACCTCGAGTGCTGTGTTCAGTTCTGGGCCCCTCACTACAGGAAGGACATTGAGCTGCTGGAGTGTGTCCAGAGGAGAGCCACCAAGCTGGGGAGGGGTCTGGAGAACAAGTCCTATGAGGAGAGGCTGAGGGAACTGGGCATGTTTAGTTTGGAGAAGAGGAGGCTGAGGGGAGACCTCATTGCCCTCTACAACTACCTGAAAGGAGGGTGCAGAGAGGTGGGGGTTGGCATCTTCTCCCAAAGGACGAACGACAAGACCAGAGGAAATGGTCTGAAGTTGAGGCAAGGGAGATTTAGATTTAGATATTAGAAAGAACTACTTTACTGAGAGAGTGGTCAGGCCCTGGAACAGCCTGCCCAGGGAGGTGGTGGAGTCACCATCCCTGGAGGTATTTAAGAAACATATAGACATGGCTCTTCAGGGCAGGCTCTAGTGCCCAAGGTTATTGGTTTATGGTGAGGTGTTGAGTGTGGGGTTTAGTTGGTGGGTGCGGTGTTTTGGTGGGCAATTGGTGTGGTATGTTTTGTATTTGGGCACCCCTGATGTGTTGATTCTCATCCTGAGATTAAGGGAACTGAGGGAATTTACAGACCGGTCTCTGAGGCAGGTGATGGTTTGGCACAAACCCATGCTGGCATTGTAATCCAGGTTGTCAGTGAATAGTCTGCTCACCTGCAAGCAGTGGGATGGGGCATGATGGGACCCCCTGGGATGACCTGTGGGCTTCTGCATCCCAGGGCCGTGGCTCTAGGCATGACTATGGGGCAAGGAGCCTGCCCAGTCCCTTGGGCTGGTGCAAGAGCATCACCCAGCCCTGGGACCAGGACACTGGACCAGGTGGGCTCCTGGCCGAGCCATCATCAGAGATGATGGAGCTGGGGACACCCATGCCTGGCAGAGGGAGCCAGTCTCCCCGGAGCCTTCTCTTCTCTGGGCTGAGCACCCCCAACTCTCTCAGCCTGACATGGTGCACCATGAATTTCATTACATCTCATCTGTAGATAGATGTCAGAAGAATCACCTTATTATTCAAGGATAAGCAGTTGGAAATGCTACCCTGTGACTGTCTTGCAGCCTTCACATTTGCTTGCACCTTCCAGAGAGAGCAAAGAGATCAAGTACGGGCCAAGAGCTGAGTATCATGAACTGTTCTCTGCAAGATGGGAGAAGCCATCAGGATCTTCTCGTGTGGCTTGTTCTTCTCTGCTGATGGCTCCCTGTGACTGCAATGGCACCCCAGCACAGACATCTGTGCTTCAGCACTTGGTGTCTTTGCAAAGGACTGAGATCTGCATGTGCCAGCATCTCCATGGTCCAGCCCACCATGGCTGACACAACGAGGACTCATCTTATGCCACCTGCCTTCGCCTCTCAGCGTCTTCTGCTGATCTAAAGCATTTGAAACCTCTCATCCTCCCCTTCAACAATGAATTAATCTGTTGCAAACTTGGTCTAGATAAGGGTAGATAAAGGTAAAGAAGAGAACCCAGGGGATAACTTGAGCTTGGGAAAATCCATCAGCCATAAGAGGAGGAAGCTCACAGCTTGAAAATTCTTAGTATAAATGGCCCAATGCTGGCAATTCCATCATTTTCTCCAACACACCTGAGGCCACTCTCCCCACAGAGTCCCTCCCCAGCTTTCCTGTAGCCCCTTCAGGTACTGGAAGGGGCTCTAGGGTCTCCCTGGGGCCTTGCCTTCTCCAAGCTCAACAAGGAGCGGGAGGCTCTGCAGCAGCCTGAGGTGACCACTCGGCCACGCAAGGGAGGACCCTGGAGTTGAACTGTGCTGAATCGTGCTGGGAAAAGGCTGAAAAGGGAACTGTGCTTCCTAGGGGTGGAGGTAGATAGAGTGTCACCCCGAGCCACAGCTTCAGGAACGAGAAGAAAGAAAAGCTAACTTTGCAAAGTCTGCTGCATGCCTCTCCGTTACCCTCATTAGGGTCATTAGGGGAACGACCATTATCCTGCTCATTATCAGAGAGCAGGACCAAGGCAGTCGGGGGTCAGCACAGGGTGCCCTTGTGGCCTAAGGCAGAACTATTCATTCTGATGTATGTTTTCATCTCAAAGTGCCTGAAATAAGGTGACTAAGGGATGTTTTTGCAGGACGAAAGGGACCATGCGTTGCATTCCCCAGGACCTGGGTGCCCAGTGGGACGAGACCTGCTGAGGTGGCTTTGGGAGACTGGATAAGGGGTGAAGGATCCAGCCCTGCTGTAGTCTCCACCACCCTCCAGAATCAGGCCATGGAGCACAGCACATGTAGGGGGGTCCTGGGGCTCCCAAACCCAGGGAGAAACATACACCTGGTGTCACAGCAGAAGCCTTGAGAAGTAGAAACACACAGGTCGGGGTAGAGAATAGGTATGGGATGATACAAGATGGGGCACGCTAGAAAGACCAAATCAGCAGCTCACCCATTGCCAGCTTGCAGGACAAGAAGTTTTAGGGGTAACAAAGAAAAAGCATCCAACACAGTCAAAAATCCCCACATACAGTCAGTTTGGGTTGCAATACTGATTTGCGGGTGGATAAGGGAAGAACAAAGGGTGGAAGGTGTGTCAGAAAACATGCGAATCCAAAAATGGAAGAAGGTGAGGACGAAGAAGAAACCCCCATCAACATCACACTCTTCCCCAGAAAAAAACTTGGGCCCCTGATACCCTACTGCAAAGCCCCCTTGGATGAAGAAGACCAGTGCCATCCAGTGACCATCAGGCTGAGGGAACAGCAGAAAAGTGAGCACAGGACCTGGAAAAGTGGCAGGAACTAGTGAGCATGTGCCCTGGTCAACTCCTCTTAGTGCAACAGAGCCCAGGACCAATTCACATCCATGCAGGTATTCACTGAAAGTTCCCAACTCCACCATTAACTGGACTATGAAACGTTCACACAAGGCTTACTGTAAGTTTAGCATGAAGTTACTACTCAGAGAAGTGCTTCCACAAGCCTTAAACACCCCTCTATACGTACCACAGCCACAGACTTGGCTGTAGTCTTGCCTGATCCTCCTTTGCGAGTGTCCCGCATGCTGTAGGAGCAACTTTTTACTCATTAGTTCTCCAAGCTTTTGGCCTTTTTGGGATCTTCATGCACTCCTCGTTTCCCATGGCAGATACTTCCCACACATCATGCAAGCCCTCTTCTGTTTTCCAGCTTGGTCAATCCTCTTGGGACACTCCAAGTCTTCCTCCTCTATGCCCCTGTGACCCAGTGTTGGATCCCCTGTTTCTCCTCTTCCCCCACCTTGCAGATGTTCATGCTTTTACCCCAGCAGAGCCTCTGGATTGATCACATCACTCATTGTCCTTCCCTATGGTTGGCTACCTATCTATTTTCCTGGTGAGGACTGTCCTGCCAACACACAGCAGGGCACCTGCATGGGGTCCTGCTCGGCTGCTCGTAGTCCCTCACTTGGGTTGGCAGGAGCCGTGGTGGTGCCTGGTCCTTATTTCTACGACCAGAGCTTCTTAAACCTCCTGCAAGCATCCCTCTGCGTGGCAGACTTGCACCTCCATGCCCTCCAAGCCTTTCTCAAGAACCCCCTGTCCTCTGAGGCGACCCAAGAGACCGATGTCCAAGGACACAAGGCACAGGAGCATGTTTGGGAATACAGCAGATGGAACAGGTCAGTGAGATTCAGTTCCTCCCACGCACCTAGTGAACTGTAGGTCCTTTGCCATGTTTTCCAGTCCCATGTCAATGTCTGAGAACTGGGGCATCTCAGATGGCTCTAAAAATCTGCATGAGGCCTAAACTGAGCTTTCATGTGGAGTTTGCAAAATGGCTCAGCTTCAGGGCTGTAGGGAAACAAGCCCCTGGCGGATACTTCGGGGTAAGCTATGCAGCCTCCACTGACTGGTTATTAAAAAATTTTTTTAAAAAAAAGGAGAAAAACTTCCAGGAGTAAAACACTGCTTGAGTCTTAGAGAATGTTTCTATTTTCAGAAATGAAAAAAAAAAAAATTGGAAGAGAAATTTGAAAAAAAAAAGAAATTTAAAATTTCTACACATAAAATGTCTTCTTCTTCGTGCAGACTGTCTGTCCCTCAGGGTACCTGAACGAGGTGGGCATGGAGACAGGCTGTGGATCTAGAGACGAGGTGGCTCAGGGCCCTTAGAGAAAGAGCTGTGTGCTGCAGTGGAGCTGCATCTCGGAGTTTTATGCCTGGGCTGTGCTGAGCTCTTTTCTTGAGAAGAAGCTCTCTTCCCAGCAGGAGCCACCTTGACTGCTGCTTGCTCTTCTCCAGGTGTTGAGATGTATGTGTCAGATGCAACAAGCTCCTCCTCCATGTGCACAAAATCTGTGGAGAACAATGGTTTGCAGAGCCAATGGTTTGCTCCACACAGCCTGAATTTCCCCCTCTTTAACGAAACCAACTGAGGATGTTCACTCCATTGGAGACAGCCTAAATCACTTTGGCTTGACTAACAGGGTGTGCCACCATCACCCCTGCCAGCACTCCAACATGAAGCCTGCTTTGCAGAAACCACCCTCGATCCAGCATTTGGTCCACACAGAGCACCTTCCACCAACATGATGGACGTTCAACAAGACAACATGGAGATGTTCAACACAGGCAACCCCAACCACTCAACCCCACTTTCCAAGAGTCTCCACCACAGCCTTAAAAATTCAGGAACAGACACAATTCCTGGTCTTTTCTCGTTCTAAAGGTGGAACATCCCTTGCCAACGGGGAGCTAGGGCATAAAGCCACCCTCTGCTCAGAGCTCCTGCATGATGTGCAGGCAGCACAGGCAGTGTTTGAGGAGGCTTCAAGGCCTGCCCCACCTCCCAGCCTGTCCGTAACCCAGGAGGAAGGCAGTGTCAAAGTGAAAGGGGAAGAAGTGAAAAGAAAGAGAGAGGGGAAAGGGATGGGGAGAGAAAAGGTCGAACCAGAAAAGGAAGTTCCTTTCAAGACGAGCCACAGGGAAAAGCCCTTCTGCCCCAACTCTGCTGACATCAGCGTTTTGAACAACACTCGTTTCCAACCACACGTTTCTTCTGCAAACTCCATTGCCCTCTCCACCCACAGCAGAGCTTACCTGGGGGGAAATTAAAAGCCCTGCGCTGCGTTTGCCACCTCCTGAGGTACAGAAGAGCCCCACAGAGCAGCACGGAGACCGGAGGGATGACTGGGACCAGCAACGGGAGCGGCGGCAGAGGCCGCGGAGCTCTCATGGCAACAGAATCTGTGGGGAGAAAGCAAATGTCTCTTCGTCCAGAGCTAATTTAGGAGATCAACAGACATCACCAGGACATGAGCAGATGGGCACAGCGTGCGCTGTGGGAAATTCCCATTAGGTAGGTGAAAATACTGGTTTTCCCCCCATGAGGATGGTTAAATATTGTAACACAGATGAGAAAGGCATTTAGATCTCCATCCTGGGGGACTTTGCTGTCGTCACTGGTCAAGGCCATGAACAACATGGTCTAGTTGGTCTAACAGTGGAAGTTTAGAGGGGTTAGTGGAACATTAGGGTGAGGGGTCTGGAGCACAAGTCTTATGAGGAGGAACCGAGGAAACTGGGGTTGTTCATCCTGTAGAAAAGGAGGGGAGACCTTCTCACTCTCTACAACTCCCTGAAAGGGGGGTGCAGCCAGGGGGGGGGCTTGGTCCCTTCTCACAAGAAACAAGCAATAGGACAAGAGAAAACGGCTACAAATTGCACCAGGGGAGGTTTAGATTGGATATTAGGAAAAATTTCTTCGTGGAAAGAGTTATAAAACACTGGAATAGAGTCATAGAAGACTGGCTGCCCAGGGAAGGGGTGCATTAGTCATCCCTGGGGGTATTTAAAAGCCAGGCAGACATGGTGCTGAGGGACACGGGTTAGTGGTGGTTCTGTCAGTGTTGGACTCGATGATCTTAAAAGTCCCTTCCAACCTACATGATTCTATGATTCTATGACTTTAAAGGTCCCTTCCAACCCAAACCATTCTCTGCTGCTGCGGTGTCCTTGCTCATAGAATCATTTAGGTTGGAAAAGATGCTAGAATAAGCTAGAATAAGAAAACTGCTGAAATACAGAAAATTCAGACGTGCTTCCTGGAAAAGGAAGAAAAGAGTAGAATTCGTAAAACTCCTTACTTCCTCACCATTAGTATAGTGGGTCCCTCCTTCTTATACAGATCTATATCCAGGAGCTTTTTGGTGGTTTTCTGGATTGCAACAAAACCTACATCTCACCCTGTAGGTCCCTAGGTAAAGCCTCTTTCCTCCTGTCCCCTGGAAGGTTTGGTCATGCAGCTCATTGCTTTGCTCAGATTCTTGTGCTCCCCATTTCTCAGGATACTCAGGTCCTCCACCCACCCCTGCTCGTAGCAGAAAAGTCAAGGAACCCAATCAGGGACTATAGGGGAGAGCAAGGGGGTGCTTGGGGACAAACACTTGTTCTCCTGGGATAAAGTCCTCATGGTGACCAAGGGGAGATGCTGCTCTCAGCCAACCTGAAATTGCTCCTAAACAGATACAAGAAGCTTAATGTGAGCAGAGCAGGTGTTTCTCTACTGAGTTATCCTTGTGGCAGTGTTGCTCCTTCCAGAGCTGCGCCACGGTGGGCTCTGGAGTGGCCTACCCAGGCACACCACGCCGGCATCTTCTCGGTGGTCACAGTTATTGTCTCCCCACAGCCTGGCTCTGCAGGTGGAGAGGGGTCGCCTTGTGGTGCTGGACCTAGCGATGGAGAATCACCACCATGGTTGGAAGGGACCTCTGAGATCATCGTGTCAAACCTTAAAGGAAAAAAAAAAAAAAAAACAAAAACCCACACAAAAAAAAACCCCAAAACCAAACAAGAACAACAAAAAAAACCCCACCACAAAACACAACACCCCACCACATCACACTGACCCACAAACCAATAATCTCGGGCACTAGAACATGCCCTGAAGAGCCACGTCTACACATTTCTTAAATACCTCCAGGGATGGTGACTCCACCACCTCCCTGGGCAGGCTGTTCCAGTGCCTGACCACCCTCTCAGGAAAGTCATTCTTCCCAAGATCTCATCTAAACCTCCCCTGCCACAACTTCAGACCATTTCCTCTGCTCCTGTCATTATTCCCTTGGGAGAAGAGGCCAACACCCACCTCTCTCCACCCTCCTTTCAGGGAGTTGTAGAGGGCAATGAGGTCTCCCCTCAGCCTCCTCCAAACTAAAGATGCCCACTTCCCTCAGCCTCTCCTCATAGGACTTGTTCTCCAGGCCCCTCACCAGCTTGGTGGCTCTCCTCTGGACACACTCCAGCACCAAAATGTCCTTCCTGTAGTGAGGGGCCCAGAACTGAACACAGCACTCGAGGTGAGGCCTCACCAGTGCCCAGTCCAGAGGCACCATCACTGCCCTGCTCCTGCTGGCCACGCTGGTCCTGATACAGGCCAGGATGCTGTTGGCCACCTGGGCACACTGCTGGCTCATGTTAAGCCAGCTGTCTACCAACACTCCTAGGTCTTTTTCTGCTGGGCAGCTCTCCAGCCACTCTTCCCCAAGCCTGTAGCACTGCCTGGGGTTGTTGTGACCAAAATGCAGGACCCGGCACTTGGCCTTATTAAACATCATCCCATTGGCCTTGGCCCATCGATCCAACCTGTCCAGATCCCTCTGTAGAGCCTTCCGACCCTCAAGCAGATCAACACTCCCACCTAGCTTGGTGTCATCTGCGAATTTACTGAGGGTGCACTCAATCCCCTTATCTAGATCATCAATAAAGATATTAAACAAGCCTGGCCCCAAAACTGAGCCCTGAGGGGCACCACTGGTGACCTGGTGCCTCTGTACTCGGCACCGGTGAGGCCTCACCTCAAGTACTGTGTTCAGATCAGAGAAAGCAAGTGTTGGACAGGAGACAGAGGATGGATCCCCACAGGTTCAGCCTTTATCTTCACTCAGAGATTTGAGGACTCCCACGAGGAAAGAACTTCGCTGGAGAGAAGCAAGGAAAACTGGCTGCAGAGCTCCTGTACCCTGGTACCCAGGAGATCATCAGCAGAGGAACGACAGCTACCTGAGCACACCACACCAGCATTATATGTGCTTGGAGCAGCCTCCTGCCCCGAGGAAGGCAGAACAAGAGTCATGAAGGAGCAGGGTTAAGAGCAAGCATTTCAGATGGCCCCCTGAACTCAGCTGGTGCAGACGATGCCACGTGCACACTGGCAGGGAACTTGTGGTGGGGCATCTCCAGCACCATCTCCAGCATCACAGGTGGGGCACGTACTTTGCGTCCTACACAACATCCCCCGAGGGTGTGGATGGAGAAGGCTGGAAGGCAGGGGCAGCTGCTGTGCTCCATGTGCATAGGGATGGTGGACAGAAGCATGTACTGATCCTGAGGTATGGCCAGATCTGGCTGTCTACCTGGGTTCCTCTTCCACTGGGATGAGATCCAGTGTGCTGGGAAGATCAGGAGGAGATCCAGGGTGTTGTGAAGAAGCAGGAGGAGATCCAGGCTCCCAGGGAAGAGCAGGAGGAGATCCAAGCTGCTGGGAAGAAGCAGGAGGAGATGCAGGCTGCTGGAGGCCTTTCAGGGATCTACAGAGCACAGCTGGGGACACCATGGGCTATAGGGCAGGGCCGGGGACTTTTCAGGGATGTATAGGGCATATAAGGATAGAGAAGGTGCATGCAAACCTGCAGCCAGAGGAGATGTGGGGCAGGGAAGGGGTGCAGGAGCAAAATGGGTGCCTCCCTGTGCTGGTGGCCCAGCCCAGCAGGAGGGTCCCCTGTCCCATACCCACCTCCAGCCCCCCGGGGGCCTATGGGGCACCCCAGGCACAGGGACACGTGGGCCACCAGGTCCCCAGATGTGAGCAAAACGGGCAACAACAGTGGGGAGAAAAGGCAGGATGGGTGGGAGGGGTGTAAGCAGGGGGACAATACGGGGACCCCCGCCCTCTTTTTTATGGCAACCCTGCCCAAGTGACAAGCCTCCCCCAAAGGACATGGCAGGGGGGCAGTGGGGACCCCACAGCCACCCTCATCAGCTTTTCCCCTCTGGGAGCTCCTTGAGTGGGGGAGGGTCCTGTCCTGTGCCCATCACTGTGTCCTCAGTGTCACAGCCCAGGGAGGGGGCGTCCTGCAGGGAAGGGGACATCTCTGGGGGAGGCCATGCAGGGCTGGAGACAAGGGAACGGGGTGACAGGGTTCCTGGGATCCTGCATGCTCCTGTCCCCACATCCCAGTGGCATTGGGTCCCCTGGGGG